CTCTAGGAAAGTACTCTTCCTCTGAGCTATACCCTCAGCCCTCCTCACACTTGTGGGGTATTACAAAATGACTTTCATTCTCCATGTGTCCTGAAGGATATGAGAAATCCTCTTGTCATTTACCCGGTCACCAGACCATAACTGGAATGCTACAGGTACCTAAATATTCCAGTCAGCCTTACTTCTATTTCTTTTCTGATAGAGTTAAATATTAGGCATTTAGCTACCAAATCATTTTCCAAGTGGTTCTTTGACATGCCATAAAATTACATGCTACTTTTCAATTCTGACTGTGAGCTTCTCAACAAGAGGTTCCTTGATGAAGTGGTAAATCAGAAATGTTTGTCCTTGTGCAACTTAATCATTTTAATGTAAATTAGTCATCTCTGAGAAATAAGTCTAAATAATGAACTAATAACAAAGAAGTGGTAATAAAAAAATAGTTTTCTTAAAACTCCATTCTATCATAATTTAAGAGGAAAATCAGTTCAAAGGAAAGATGCCACTGTTATTAAAACTTAATTTGCTTATCAAATTATGATTCATATGAACAGAACATTTTTAAGACTATTCAGCTATTGTCTAAGTCAATGTCACTTCCAGTTTTTAGAAAACCGATATTAATCCCTTGTCACTGAAAAAAATCAAATTAATTCCTCAAATGCCACCTGATAGCGACCAGATGAGAACCCAAGATACTGTCAAATCAGAAATATAAGTTACATGTAGTCCCGAAGACTCTCCATTGTCAACTGCTTGCCCCACAGGTTCCTTTGAAATCACAAAGTATAAAAGTTTCCTATTACTTTTATAAATTTCACTTGACTCTAATGAAATATGTTCTATCCACAATGCTTACAGTAACTGTTTTCTTCTTAATAGAAAGCATACATATGGAACTGTCATTAGCAGACCTGGTAAGGTCGTTGAATGAATGCCTGTCAAGAGCACAGGCACACATTAGTAAATTTTCTCAAGAAAATCCATTTCCATTTCAAGGTCTGACATTTTATTTAGAAAAATTATGCCCTTTCTTTTAATTATTCCAGTAAACATAATGAGGGTGTTGCTAAATACACCTCAGAGGACTTTATTTTCTCCATTTCTTAGTCATACGAGTGCATTTGTAATTACAGGCATGCTGCATTAATGATGCTGAAAGTCTCCATGGTAAACATTTAATGTCCACCTCATAATGTTATGCCAAAATTACATGCACAAAAGACTTTTTAATAATCTTTGTTTTCTCATTTAGTTTTGATTGGTTCTGAAATCCATGGCAGCACTCGAGGGTCCCCATTTCCGCAGCCATCAGCACTTTTGCCCCATAAATTGTACAAATGTACACGGCATCTTTTATCTGGAGGCTTCTTTTCAATGCTTCTGTTTAAGTTACACAGAAAATTGGCTGCATGCTGGAGATAATTGAAGATAATTTTTCCATTTTTAAGCCACTGGGGTGTTGCCTGGAGGGGACATGACAGCTATGTTTATCTAAACACAAAGACCAAGTCAGAGCTCTGTGTCGTCACTTCAGCTTTACACACAGTATCAGCTCATCCTACCTGCTCCTTACACAAATAAAATCATTGTCACTAGATGACCTGTGTCTTGTAACAGAGGCATGCTACCTGAAGCTTGAATTATGGCTGAAAGGACAGGCTCGGCACAAATGGGTTGCCTCCTCGGCTGTAAGAGCAAAAGCAGCCAACCAACCCTGTGCCTTGCAGGTTTCTCCTCACTCACAAAAATAGTCCTCAATGTTATGCACTGTCAATTTGAAAAGAAATGTATTAAATTAAAAAGAAAATAAAAAATTTTCAAAATAAATAATTCACACACATTCATAAATGACATTCACTCTATGTTCATATGTATAACCTATCATAGACAAGTTTTTTTTCCAGCAAACGATTGTTTGGAAGTGCTAATACAGTTAATATCTAACCATTTTAAATTACTTGACATAGAAGATTTGGCAAAGATAGGACATGCTGGTTAGCAAGCACAGATCTATTATTAAATGGAATCATAAGCTGTTTTTCCCCTCCAAGTTCACTCAGAATTAAAGTCAATGCAATATTCATGGGTGGTCACGGACATACTGACAGAGAAAATACAGAAGGCAGCACTACAAATTTTCAGAGCATTAACTCTTAGAATCATAGACTATTTCTATGGCTGAATGTATTACCTGTGTTCAGAAACCCTGGAGCAATTACTAATAAGAGTGTTACTAGCCAAGGAGGCAAAGCCATTTACAGTGAACATTTACATATGGGGCAAAGTAATGGTTGTGTCTATTTGGCAGCCCTAGTGATGTAATAGGCCATAACAACTCTGGAATGGAAGCGAGTGTCAGAGAGCACAGGACCCATAAGTCCTAGCATAAGTGCCTTTATGGATTCCCATTAGACTTTGGGCTAAGGAGCTCCTCAACAGACCTGATACTACAGCATCCCAATTTATAGCCTGTTTTAAGAACTTTTACACTAAGACATTTTATAGAAAATCCACAACCACAGAAGGGAAGTTTTGCAGTATTTGGGCCATTATCATTGAGTTGGCACTTAATATGCATACTAATAGTCCCAAGGTTCACATTTAAAGGAGATTATTAAATCTGCTATGCCAATCATATGCACATTAAGGAACACAAATTAATGACTGATAGGTAACTCAGAAATCTTACACTCTGTGAAGTTACATGTCTAAATCCACCTGGGCAAACTTAAGCTGCTCCTGAGTACCTGAATTGCACTACAGTGTAGCTTGGGTGGGGTTCATGGGAACACATATATAAAACACAGTTGTACTTCAGGCCAACCTAGGAACATTCTGTTAATTCTCTTTTCCCATGGTACCTGCACCATTATTTAGCCACTGACATGATAGGAATTAACTTACTTAAGGACCTGAGACCTTGCTCCTGTGAAAAGCTAGTCTGGAAAGTCCTGTAATGTGCCCTTTCCTGCTTCTATTGGAAGAAATAGGTATGCTGACCATGGGAATTCTTTACATGTTGGGCAGTAGAAATGCTGAGTGAGTGTTCTCTGGCCAAAGGAGAATTCAAGGAAGCAGCACACACAAATTACACCTTGAACATATCCTATAGTATCCATGTGAGTAGAAACTGCACTCTGGCAAAGGACATTAAGTATTTCACTTAGCTCTGTAAATTGTTAAGCAATTCCAGAAGAGGCATATTGTTCTGTACATCACAGAACCCAATAGCCGGGGCTAGAGTCTCTCCATGAGAAGATCTGGCCCAGAATGCAGGCTCTGGGAGCTTGTATAACCTATAACCAAACAGTAATTTCACACCACATTTGCAAGAAATTTTAAATTGGACCTTTTATAAGAAATTACTAAAGAGCTCATATAAAGCCAACAAATGTCCCTGGTCTTTTACAGATTTATCAAAGTTTTACTGATATGTTTACTGGAAGCCTGTGGTGGTTTCCAAAATGCAACTTCTTTCTGAAGCACATACCTGTTACCCAGAGAGACGAGGCCCTCTCTTTGAAATATTTAGTCATTTAGGGCACTTTAGTCATAGTGACACCTAATAGCCAAGGTCTTTTTCTCACTCTCCACAAAATCAAGTTTAGACTATAATTCAAAGCAGTCCCCAAAGGCACTTCTGAAAAATGGCAAGCCCTTAGCTTTTAGGTGAAAACACTTTTTATTGCTCAAAATCATTTCCTGCTACAAAACCTTTTCTACAGTGCTCCATCTGAGACAATCTTATGTTAATTTAACTCACTGGGGACTGTGAGCAGATGCTACTTTGATTAATAGTTTCACGAGCCTGAAAATGCCAGGCCAAGTTCAAGATAATAAAGTCAGGTAAGATACTATTAAAATCTGCCACATGGTTATATCTGTTATGTGGATTAAAATGGGGTCATAGTTCTTATATCAAATAAAGACTGTCTCCAATAAAAACCAACAACATAAAACAAAATGGACATACTGTCTCAATTTCTTACCCCATTAACTGACACCATATTAAGCACCCATCTCTTTAATAACACCTTACATGTATATTTTCTGCTATTATTTTATTTGGAAATTCAACATGTTTCTCTAATACTACCTTTCTTCTAGTGTGTGTTCAACCTGGAAAAGGCCTCAAATACACTCCAAGAATAAAGACTGTTATAACTCCTTTTATTATTGTCTAAATTTACATGTCCCCAGGTCATTGATTTCAACAAATGTGTTTTTGGCATTTCAACATCCACTTTCAAAATTCCCATAGAAATGCAACCCTTGGTAATAAGGGTATGCATGAGTTGGTAAATAAAATCCCTGGGAAAATCCTTCAAGAAAGTTTACTGTCCTTCCTTCTTCTTTTCTTCTTGCTGCTCCCTTACCTGAGGAACACCTACCAGAGATGATATCTGGTAAAGGATACAGGTGACCTCAACTAATCTGGCACTATGGGATTTGGGCCTGCCTTCATCTATGTGTAATAATAAACCTTTGCATTCTTTTTTACTTTTTAAGACAGGGTTTCTCTGTGTACCTTTGCAGACCAGGCTGGCCTTGAACTCAAAGAAATCCACCTGCCTCTGCTTCCTGAGTGCTGGGATTAAAGGTGTGTGCCACCACCTCCCAGCAACTTTGTATTCTTAACATTGATTTACTAATGGATTTTCATCATAAACTTAACCCAGCTGTCCTAACATTTCAGTTTCTATTCTAAAATTTGACCATCAATTCAGCTTTTTGATTTGTAATATATGCACACGCCACCTGTCTCACTGAAACTTTTGGCTTGCTGGCAAGCAACAAGCCCCCATACATCAATCACGCCATATATATTGTAACCCCAGATAGGACAAGCCTCCAGAGAATGAAGCCAGCCTCTCAACATGAATCTGCCACCTGCAGATTTGGCTCTGCCAAACTGAGCCTTCCCACTCACCACATTTGTTTGCCAATGAGATTTAATGGCATTTATTGAAATACTCTACTCAAAAGCACTGCCTCACCATTGCACAGAACGACTCTGGAGGGTCTCCACAGGTAATATCCGGAGGGTCCAGTTTCACTTTCAGATATTTTGTCATGTCCGTGGATTCCGGTTGGCAGGCCATATAATCCCAAACTTTCCCTTCTTCTGTGTAAATCTGAGTTTTACATACATCATAATGTCCCCACACTAAAGGGTAGGGCTGCATCACAGAGGACACTGTAACCCACAGGGCATGAATCGACAGGAATCTTGACAAATACATCTCTAAAATCTTGGCAATCTTCGTGTCTTATTTGTAGTCTGTCTCTTTCACATACACATGAGTACGTTGTGTGTTGTGTGTATGTGCGTGGTGTGTGTGTGTGTGTGTGTGTGTGTGTGTGTGTGTGTGTGTGTGTCTTTATGTAGGTAGGTCTGTATATTAAAAAAAAGAAAAAATGCTGTGGTCTCAAAGCAGATTCCCAAACTTAATGTGATAGATTTACTGTGTGGTCAGGGATGCTGAGGATTTTGGTGGAAGCCTAACCTGCTTTTATGTTAGGCATTAGCAGCTTGCAGTCTTTCCTCCTCGTAGAACATATCTATTAGACTTTTGTGAAAGACGTCCAGGAGCAGATAATAATTTACCAAAGTGATGGCTCTCCCATTGTACATTCAATAATCCTGAATGATCCTCAGCGTTCAGGGTCACTAGGGCTGCTCAGATGCGATGAGGGATCAGTATCTGGAGCACAAGGATGAGTGTCTACGGCCCTGTGTCTGTTCACCAGCAATCATTTTCTTTTTCTCTTCTGGCACCAACCTTTGTGGAAACAATAAGAGTAAGAGTTATTACTCTGGAATCAATGCATTAGGAAATGTATGATGCTTTGACGTTTCAAAGGCTCAGTGTGATATAAAGCAAACTGGTGTAATATGGATACGCTTCAGTTAGATGCCTTGCTAGGCTGATCAGGGTACCCATCCACATTGGGGAGAATTTTGATATGAAGGATTTGACTCTTCCATAACAAAGCTAGATGAATATATTCTAGGAGAGTTAACAGGCTTTTGCTTCAAAAATTTTATTTCCATCTTAACTACTGAGAGCAAGCTTCTGGATTTAAACAGCTTTTACAGCTAGCTTAAAAATCCTCCAAGAGAACAATGGGAATAAAGAGAGCCTTTATAACAATGACAATTACTTGTGTGCCTTTCTTCTTTTAGCAAATAGACCCTAAAATTCTCCAAATTCCTTGTACATTTCTTAGCTTTTGTTAGGGGCAGGTAAATGAAAACTGGTCATATGGGGACAAGCCTCTCTCTGAATTTTCTCATTATACTAAAAGAATTTAACATCTTTTGTTTAGTTGCATTTACTGAAAAAGATAACTAGGCTCTCTGAAAATACTAAAATAAATAAATAAATAAATAAAACCAAAAGGCAAATATTCCTTTCATAAGAATCTTCTATTTCTTGCATCGTTTTAGAGCCATCACATCTGCATTTACAGTTACTTTCTATAACAGGAGAGAATATGTCCCAAAGGTGGATGTTATATGCTGCTTTTAAAGGCAAAGTTCCATAGTAAAACACACAGTTTAAAATGCAGGCCATGAAGCAGAGTAACAGGGCACTAATTCTAAGAGAAAATAAAGATTTTTATTTCAGTGTACTTTGGGTAAACTGATAATGTAACCTGTATAAGTTACAGATGAAAGTCACAGATGCATTCTGCTAGCAAGTTTTCAACTATTCAAATCTTAATAAATGTTAATATTTAAAACCCAGGTGATAATGTATTGTCTTAGTTATTTGGTTCATATTCCCAGTTCAAGTTATTACATACTTTTAAGTTTTAAAAGAACAAAATAAAAAAAAATCTACAGCTTTGAAAATTCCATTATAGACTCTTCGATTCATACTAAACAGTTTAAATAAGGAAGTTGGCTATCTTCAAGCAATCTTATAAAGGGAATGCACTATATTTAAATAATGCACCATCTTAAAATGAACTAAGCCACAGAGACTATGAAATGCCAACAGATGGTTGAATTGTGTTTCCATAGCAAAGTAATTTATAATAATTGCTTTATGGATGCAAGTGCAATTTTCATTATATTCAATTCATAAAATGTTATCATACAGCTGCAATTTGTGATATTTTCTATTAGGAAAAATGTTGAATATTTGAGTTCCCATGAAGCAGTAATTAGCAATGTGTCTAAACATGTGTAAACTACAGACTTATTTGCTTCCTTGTGACTTTGACACTGTTCAGTGGCATGAATTTGGAAATCTTAACCTAAAAAGAAAAGAAAAATAAAACATTACAGGAGCATGTGTTATGGCTATTCAAGCTTTTCTACATTTTTTGTTTGTTTGTTTTTAAATTCATTAAGTTTGTATTTTCAGAAACACTCAACACATTAATGATTAATAATCTGAAAAGGCGTTAAGAAGAAAGAAATGTAGATTTCCTGGCCTCATTTTTCACTTATGGTTACTACATCCTTATAGAGGAAGCAGACACTTTGGAAAGTGAAGAAATTGAGCATGAGAGGTGAGGTAGTATAAAGTATACTAGTTCCAAAATTATTAACATCAATCTTTTAGTTTCAAAACACAGCAATTTCTAAGTCAGGAACCAATGACTTTGAGTTTGTACTGTGTGAATATCTGGTTAATTTGTAAAATGATTTTTTAAAAGAACATTTCAAGTATATAGGCTTAAATGACCCTCAAGATTACTCTTCACCTTTTTTAGACAATACTATTCCCTCAACCATCAATTCTTTGTTACTCTGTCCTCATGCCTATGTTATTGCAATGACCTCATCTGCGTGAAACTGTGGACACTAAGGAAATGCATGTAACTGTCACCATGTCCTGACAATAGCACTTCCAATGCAGGGGATTCTCATTAAAGTCTACCAGACTGTAATGATGGCCATTACACAGAATTATGGACTACATCATTGATCGAAGTTAGAGAACTGACAGGCAAAATGCAGAGGGGTGCAAGATATTTGAATATGAGGCAGTTGCAGGACTGTGCGACAGACATTCTTGACAAGAAGCAGCCAATTACAGCTTAAATTTCTGGCACCTAACCAGTTGTGATTAATAGTTTTCCATTACATTACAGACATATTATTAATGTATTAAAAATGTCAAGCTTTGGCAAGCACTAATATGGTGTGGCTCAGTTGGTCTGCAGAATTTACATTTAATGAGCTCCCATTGACACGGAAAAAGGTATTGACCGCAGTGTAATGCAAATCTGAGTACAGTCATAAGCTATTCTTTAGCATAATTATACTTTCCCTTCTAACTCTGAAGTCTGTAGCACCCCTTCTTTTGGACCCTTCATATCAAATTCTCCTTACTTCCTACTATCATACAGGCTATCAAATAAATCCTACTTCATATTAGAAGAAATTAAATCTATTAACTTTAGTGATAAAGAGGCCTTATGAGAATCAGGGATTTGTGGGATTTTCAAAGAAAACAAATATTGTACAAAGAGAATATTATTTATACCACCACCTCCAACACTTAATGCATCTGGTTTCCAGCTGGCTTTCCTGTGAACCAGGTTAAAAAATACCAGTATCTTCTTAAGAGCTGCCATGACTGCAAATGGCTAAACAAACTGATTAGGGGATGGGCAGACAATGACATATTTGGGGGCTTAGTATCCTAAATGTATCCCTTCCTCCCAGCACATAACTGAACTAACTACTGCAAATTTTCAAAAGTGTCTGGATCACCTGGATAAGGGCAAAATCAGAAGAGCTCTGGGCAGCTCCAGCTCTATGTCTGTACTTTCCTTACATGGGAACTCAGAACAGTCAAGGACTGGCACCGTCTCTACCTAGGAGCTGAAGGAGTAAGAAATCCTTTCTGTTTAAAATTTTCCCCATTAATATGTTACAAGCCCATGACTCTCTGATATAAGAATGGACATAGCCAAAAAAAAAAAAAAAAAAAAAAAAAAAAAGAAAGAAAGAAAAAAAGCACAAAATTACATGGATTTCAGGTTGATAGGTATTATTGATCAGGGATAAAATAGGCTACAAAATGGCATTGCATCCAAGGAACATACATTTTTCCAGGATTCAATAGCTAATTACCTTCCACCTTGCATTAACTTTGCAGGAAGGATTTAAAAAACCCTTCCTCTCATCAGAAAAAAGAAAAAAAGGCTTCAAAAATATTACTCAAAACTAATAATGATTAAAAGAACAAGCCTTTATAGTCCCAAAGAACAGCCAATGTCATCAACTAAGAGGGAAGTATTGTCGGTAAATCTACCAACTCTCCCTGGATTTTAGCATTCTTTTCATTATATAATCTCACTAGGAAGTGGTAATAGGCTAAATATTCCATAAATACACAGATCATCAGGGCACCTGAAATACACAGTATTGACTCATTCTGTGCAGACAGTAAGACTTTTATAAACCTACATGTTTTTGAATGGATATGAACAGAAGGAGATAATCACATTTCATTCACTGAAGAAAATAAAGGGGAAACAATATACAAGTTCTATAACCTGTCAAGATAAGCAGCTCTGAACACAGTCACAGTGAGAGCACAGGTTCACATACATTCAATGTTCTTTGCACATGTCCATTTGTTGTGAAAAGAGAATCTTTTGGTTTCTTCATGAAGAACAGAAGCTCCTGTCTTTTTGTTAACAATCTCAAAAACATAAGGAATCTATGAAACAATTTTGACATGTCTTACTTATAAGTGACTTTGAGTATTATAAAGAACAATCATGGCAGCCTTAATATCACACATTGGTATTTTAAAGATTTCTATTTTTTATCAAGGGATAAAAGTAATGGAAGTCAGTACATATTTTCTGTTATGTTTGTAGAAGGACAATACATAAAATTACGTCAGAATCAACTAAGCCTAAAAGAAACCTGACATTGAACTGTCATATGAATGATAGAGCCTTCCTTCTAATATAGGGAAGCTCAGAAATACAAGCTTCCACACACACAGATGAAAAATTCTACACCCACTTGGAGTTTGAAACAGAACTCCAGATCCTAAAATTAAAATTACTTTTTGAAAGTATGTTAAATCACTTACTTCCCTATAACAGCATATTTAGCACATACACACATGTACACATTTAAATACCAACACATACATGTTTTCCTACATTGTAGGAAATTTTATTTTCTTCCCAGTGATCTGGTGCTTTTGTTACTTACAAACTCTTCAAATGCTTATTTACAATATCTACCAGCTAAATGCACAATGGTTTAATTGTTTAAAGATACTGTGTGATGTTTTAAA